CACAGGGTAGTAAGTAACGTGTCAGTTTCAGGCTTGGTGGAACAAACGATGCATTGCAACTGTCTATAGCCTGTTTGGGTCAAAATAATACCGATAAATACCCCTCACCCCACCCCCTGAAATTAAATGACCATTGAAACTCGGTGAAAATAAAGTGTGCACCCCCCTTTCTCACGACTGTGCAACAACCCCAACCCCCCAACCCTTTCTCAAAAGCTGTATCCGCGCCTGTGGGGAATCGAACCCGGATCTTCGGCGTGACGAGCGAACGGCTTAACCACAAGTCTACCCCACCGACCCCTTATGGTATCCCGGTATGCATTTGTAGTTTGCGTACTAGAGTAATCGTAATCCCCCCGTGTGTTCTATGCAGTAAGTTTTACACCCAAACAGATCTGCTATGTTTATTAGAACAAAGCTTGACATACACGACCCAGAAGTTCTTTTTTATTTTTATCGAATGAACTGGGTCAGAGGCGGTATATAAACGCGGGCGCGCATGGTGCGGTGCGTGGGGTGGTGGGGATTGACCTGGAGATCAAGATTTGTGTTAACAGCTCAGTTGTTTTCGAGGTGGCTGGCCAGACACTCACTGTATCAGATCCAAACTTATTTCCAGTTCAGTACAAGGAACAAGGTGTCAGACACCTGTACACAAGTTGCCAGATACGTGCAACACGCAAAACAAAGTTGTCCAGCACATACAACAAACACTAAGTAGTTGTCAGACACGTGAGACAGACTATCAAAGCATCCAGAAACGTGAAACAGCCCACAAACACAAGCTGTAAATCGCGTACAGTATAAACACAAGCTGTCGGACACGTACAGCACACAAACAGAAGTTGTCAGACACGAACAACACACAAACTCAAATTATCAGTGCAACACACAACACAGGTTTTAAATCGCGTACAGCATAAACACAAGCTGTCGGACACGTACATCACACAAACACAAGTTGCCAGACACGTACAACACACAAACACAGGTTGTCAGACACGTACAGCACACAAACACAAGTTGTCGGACACGTACATCACACAAACACAAGTTGCCAGACACGTACAGCACACAAACACAAGTACGTAAGTACCGTACATTAACATTAACTTACAACTATGTTAGCGCTACGAGAGCTTCGAAAACCTAGGCCCAGGACACCACAAATAGGCTTCACTTTGAAGTGACGATCCACCGCTTTAACTACTCAGCTACCTAAGTGCCCTAAATGCCAGTGGGTGGTACCAAGGTAAAGGGAGGAGAGGTTATACGGATCTCAGACATCTGACACCCCTATCTTACTTGGCCTGTTCTTATGTGTCACGTGTCATACTCACGGTATATTTTCACCCTGTGGATCTACTGTGCTAACGCTCTGACACTGATCGTATTTCTTCAGTGAGGACAGTATGTAATGAAATGGACACATCATGCAGTACTGACAGAGACTATGTCGTAACTTTATCTCTTCACATTAACGTTTGTCGTTTACAGCCAGTATCACCACATTGAAATCAAAGAGAATAATGACATATATACTTCTTGGCGATCCCCATAAACAATACTCTCTACAAATATCCGTACCCTGCTTTGATATGAACTTTCTTTACTGGACTACCCGTTATTATAATGGCGGCCTGTCCATTGAAACAAAACATCCGGTCATATTTAATAGTTTTATTTCACAAGAAAAGTCGTTGTCCAAAATGATGCTATTGAATAACGACACAATAGGCGCCAGTTTAAGGTATATATTACGTTGTGACGAATGTTCTCTGTTCATAATGGAAGGTGAAAAGAGTAACGCGTCTTCTTGATGGCATACCCGGCTGCGCTGGGAACCCCCCGGTTGAGCTGGGAACCCTCGGCTGCGTTGGCAAATACTGGATCTATTTATATATAATACTGTTTTATAACACTGTCAGATCCTCCCACATATATAACCGTCTAATATAATCTAGACTGTTGAGACGTTTTTCTTTTTCTCTTTAATAATATTTATTGCCGAAATAGAATTTAGAACTTTTGAGACATTGCTCTTACTCAGCGTTCAAAGTCATTGAGTTCTACTAACGCTTCACATAGTATACGCAGGAGCTTATGAAGAAGCTGACAATTCCATTGTTTTAAGGTAATTTAATTTGAATGCATTGTTTAGATGTTTAGTTTAACTACATACCTGAATGTTAGAACACAAATCATGGCTACTCTGTTAGGGAGGTGGCATAGAAGCATTCTTATTAAACACTGGCAGAGTGGATAAAATAGGAGGTATTATGTCCATCACAATAGTCACATTTGACCTAACCATTTGGTGATTGGCATTTTTGTCGTCTTATCAAGTGTGTTGCAGTTCAAATGTGAATTCTTAGCAAGTATTGGTCCCAAAATGTAAACAAAATGTATTCTTTTGAATGAGATGTTTTCACCTGTTGATTCATTGCACTTCAGGGAGTTAAGAGTTCTTCAAGTTCAACTAAGGTAAATCGTTATTATGAGAGGTAATACCTACCAGTAATCACGGGTACAGTTCCCCTGTGTACTACACCTACCAGTTATTACGGGTACAGTACCCCTGTCTACAAGACCTACCAGTAATCACGGATAGAGGGTCCTGTCTACTACACCTACCAATCATCACGGGTACAGTATCCTCTCTACTACACCTACCAGTAATCAGGGTACAGTTCCCCTGTCTACTACACCTACCAGTAATCACGGGTACAGTGCCCCTGTGTACTACACCTACCAGTTATCACGGGTACAGTATCCTGTCTACCACATCTACCAGTAATCATGGGTACAGTATCCCTGCGTACTACACTACCAGTAATCACGGGTACAGTACCACTGTGTACTACACCTACCAGTAATCACAGGTACAGTAACCTGTCTACCACACCTACCAGTAATCATGGGTACAGTATCCCGTCTACTACACCTACCAGTAATCACGGGTACAGTACCCTAGTCTACTACACCTACCAGTTATAACGGGTACAATAGCCCTGTGTACTACACCTACCAGTAATCACGGGGACAGTACCACTGTGTACAACACCTACCACTAATCACGGGTACAGTACCACTGTGTACTACACCTACCAATAATCACGGGTACAGTACCACTGTGTACTACACCTACCAGTAATCACGGGTACAGTACCACTGTGTACTATACCTACCAGTAATCACGGGTACAGTATGCTGTCTACTACATCTACCAGTAATCACGGGGACAGTACCACTGTGTACAACACCTACCACTAATGACGGGTACAGGACCACTGTGTACTATACCTACCAATAATCACGGGTACAGTACCACTGTGTACTACACCTACCAATAATCACGGGTACAGTACCACTGTGTACTACACCTACCAGTAATGACGGGTACAGTACCACTGTGTACAACACCTACCACTAATGACGGGTACAGGACCACTGTGTACTACACCTACCAGTAATCACGGGTACAGTACCACTGTGTACTACACCTACCAATAATCACGGGTACAGTACCACTGTGTACTACACCTACCAGTAATCACGGGTACAGTACCACTGTGTACTATACCTACCAATAATCACGGGTACAATACCCCTGTGTACTACACCTACCAGTAATCACGGGGACAGTACCACTGTGTACAACACCTACCACTAATGACGGGTACAGGACCACTGTGTACTATACCTACCAGTAATCACGGGTACAGTATGCTGTCTACTACATCTACCAGTAATCACGGGTACAGTATCCTGTCTACTACACCTACCAGTAATCACGGGTACAGTTCCCCTGTGTACTGCACCTACCAGTAATCACGGGTACAGTACCACTGTGCACTACACCTTCCAATAATCACGGGTACAGTACCCCTGTGTACTACACCTACCAGTAATCACGGTTACGTACCCCGGTGTACTACACCTGCCAGCTATAACGGGCATACAGGGTACTACCAGATGTACTGGTTATGTATCATACATCTCCTTAAATCTCGACCCCTTCTCCTCATTATCAACAGGAGGTAGCAACGGTAGTCACTTTTATTGCAAATTACAGATGGCATCCCATGCTCTGCCGCTACAGTGTACAGAAAGGAGTGGGGGAAATGACCGATCTGACCTGCCCCTCCCTGCTGTGTTGGATGCACCACCCGACCCTCTAAACAACGTGGCCAGTCGGCGAGAGGCAACCTCAGTCGCCCACAACGTTACCAGACGCAGCGTCCAGCCGGAAGATAGTGGTAAAGTGTCACAGCTGGTGACAAATTACATTTCTCTTACACCTTACTTCTATATAATGTCTATCCAGAGAACAATGTGCTATGTCCACACAGTGCAGATACTTTATGTGATTGTTGATTTTGTCTTATATTTATGAATGTACTTGTTGAATGAAATAAGATATGTCTACACTACACTGACGTCTATCAAATGTTATATGCCTGTAATTATATGAACAATACATAAGTCCCTGTCACCCAGGAGTGGACCGAGAGTAGTAACTTTGTTTAATGTTTTATATGTCCTAACGTGTTTGTTAAAACACGCAGAGTTGTTTTACACATATTTTATTCACAAAATGTGAATGGGATTCTGAACAAGCTCTCCAACTGAGGACACTTCCTCCCAGATATTTACAACTGAACTACAACGTGTACTACACAAGAACAGAACAACAGGAAGGAAATGAATAGGAATGGCAAGACTTTGTACCTTATGGCTATAACATGGCTACAGCTACACGTGTCTGGCACCTCAACATCTTGACAGTCTACACATCTGGTTCTGTCTTAATGGGGGCGGTGTGGTTGCCTAGTGGTTAAAACGCTAGCTCGTCACGGGTTCGATTCTCCACATGGGTACAATATGTGTAGCTCATTTCTGGTGTCCCCCGTAGTGATATTGCTGGTATATTGCTAAAAGTGGCGTAAAACTAAACTCACTCACTCACTCACTGGCTTAAGGATACATTTTGCCAGTGTCCAGCATTTTTGTTCTCATACCTCGTATTAACATGTTCATTATCTCCAAAGTTTTAAGAGTATGTATAAATATTTATTATCAATATGTGTTAAAATAAGTGATGACATATTTTCGATACGTAGCACACGCGTAATGAACCCTAGAGGCCACTTCATTTCCCGCTTGAGACAATCACGTGACATCGGAATGCGGGACTACTTTTTTCATTCATAACTTTTTACTACGGATACAATGTTTACTACAACTTTAGTTACTCTCGTTTCCACGGTCTGACACATTTATCAACACTAATAAACACGAGATTTCAGTAAGGACTAACACTAAATAATAAAAATTGACAGTGAGTAGCATTTTACATATACTTGTCAGAATTTGACTGTTTTAAATTAGCGCTAAATTGTTAGACCTGCAACAGTTCCTGCTAGTTTGCAGCGACCTTGACCTTGCATTATTTGTATTCATACGCGCCCGGGCTATATCTAGACCGCCTTCAACATTAGAACTGCCGGTAAAACACTCTAATTTGTAATTAAAGCCTTCTGAAGATTAGAGGATACACAAGGAAATCAACACACTCGCGTAGTTGTCATATTGTATTTACAACATTCGTGTCAGAAAAATATCGTTTTTCAGCCACCCGTGTTGTAAAATTACATTTTGATATCTGCGCTTGGGCATGAATCGTGTGCATAAATGTGAAGCACACATAAAATATTTGTTCGTGGTCACATCCCACCCATACAAATGCTGAAACAAATATACTCAATACACATGTGGCAAGTTTAGGTTACCACAGTTTAAGTCTCTGAAAATGAAGAAAGTCTGTGAGCTCCTTATATAATATTTTATGAATTTATGAATATAACTGAACTGATGTTTCTGAAAAAATGTTCATTTAAGAGATAGTCTGGTCTAGGTTCTAACGGGAAGGTTAGGGTTTGGTGTTATAAAGATTCATTAAGCTTAATCACTTGAGGTTATGATTTAACGGCAAAGGCGGCGGCTAAATCTGCCACCAGGGCTTTAGGACTACTTATGTCTGAGACAATAGGAGGTATGGATTTTAACACTTTCAGCACTTATTCTTATACGACACTATGGTATGGTCTGTGATCAGCTGCGGTGAATCTGTATGGGATAATCGTGATGTGTCTACAATCAACGCAATTCATCACAGAGCTATAGTCACTCACTCGATCACCCAATTGTGTCATAGTTATATTTCATAAGATCTATCCGAGTGGAGTACCTTTATTACAAGCTGGTTCTGTGATACAGGCAGTGATAGGTTTCACTTTCCGGCATTGTAGGAGTACTCACAGGTTTATTTTCTGAATGACCTAGTCCAGATATTGTTTGATCCATAAACTTCATTCACTGTTCTTGTTGTAGGATTTCACTCACATGTGTATTAGCCACCTGAAAGTCAGATTGCTCTCAGTATAACCATTGCCAGGACCAGTCTCAGAAAGTTCTTCCTTCAAGTCTTTCAGGTGCACAATCCAGGGTACATCTGTACACAGGTTTCATGCATTTCAAGAAATTTCTCAAAATAACTGGAAGGGACCAGTTAAAACTAACCACAAGAAATATTCGACGCCACTATTCCGCCGATGAAACGACATATAACAATTCCATACCCCCGAGACAATACCTTAAAATCTATATGCATAATCATTGTCACACGCTTGTCTGACCCCGAACAAAAACACGAAATTGTAAACAAAATAAATAAAGTTTATTATGAACAAAACTACTTCATGTAATTAATCTCACTGCTCCCAACAACCACTCACCAACCTAACTACATGTGCACACAATCCACACACGCAAACACTATTCACACGTACCAAACATACAATAAATAATCAAATAAATGTTTCCAAACAGATATACATCCACCATAACGTGGGCCTGAGTATCGACCATAACGTGGGCCTGAATATCCACCATAACGTGGGCTAAATATCCACCATAACGTGGGCCTGAGTGTCCACCATAACGTGGGCCTGAGTGTCCACCATAACGTGGGCCTGAGTGTCCACCATAACGTGGGCCTGAGTGTCCACCATAACGTGGGCCTGAGTGTCCACCATAACGTGGGCCTGAGTGTCCACCATAACGTGGGCCTGAGTGTCCACCATAACGTGGGCCTGAGTGTCCACCATAACGTGGGCCTGAGTGTCCACCATAACGTGGGCCTGAGTGTCCACCATAACGTGGGCCTGAGTGTCCACCATAACGTGGGCCTGAGTGTCCACCATAACGTGGGCCTGAGTGTCCACCATAACGTGGGCCTGAGGTCCACCATAACGTGGGCCTGAGTGTCCACCATAACGTGGGCCTGAGTGTCCACCATAACGTGGGCCTGAGTGTCCACCATAACGTGGGCCTGAGTGTCCACCATAACGTGGGCCTGAGTGTCCACCATAACGTGGGCCTGAGTGTCCACCATAACGTGGGCATGAGTGTCCACCACAAGACTGAGTTATTTCACGCAGTCAATGTAACAACTTTACCAAAGTCTTTTGGTTACACTGCCGACCCAATGACATCACCATGACATCACAGCTGACGACCGTTCCACACAGCTGACGACCGTTCCACACAGCTGACGACCGTTCCACACAGCTGACGACCGTTCCACACAGCTGACGACCGTTCCACACAGCTGACGACCGTTCCACACAGCTGACGACGTTGCTGACGACGTTGCTGACGACGTTCCACACAGCTGACGACGTTGCTGACGACGTTCCACACAGCTGACGACGTTGCTGACGACGTTCCACACAGCTGACGACGTTGCTGACGACGTTCCACACAGCTGACGACGTTGCTGACGACGTTCCACACAGCTGACGACGTTGCTGACGACGTTCCACACAGCTGACGACGTTGCTGACGACGTTCCACACAGCTGACGACGTTGCTGACGACGTTCCACACAGCTGACGACGTTGCTGACGACGTTCCACACAGCTGACGACGTTGCTGACGACGTTCCACACAGCTGACGACGTTGCTGCTGACGACGTTCCACACAGCTGACGACGTTGCTGCTGACGACGTTGCACACAGCTGACGACGTTGCTGCTGACGACGTTGCTGACGACGTTCCACACAGCTGACGACCGTTCCACACAGCTGACGACCGTTCCACACAGCTGACGACCGTTCCACACAGCTGACGACCGTTCCACACAGCTGACGACCGTTCCACACAGCTGACGACCGTTCCACACAGCTGACGACGTTGCTGACGACGTTCCACACAGCTGACGACGTTGCTGACGACGTTCCACACAGCTGACGACGTTGCTGACGACGTTCCACACAGCTGACGACGTTGCTGACGACGTTCCACACAGCTGACGTTGCTCCACACACGAAAAAAACATGTAAGCGTAGCTAGGACAAAGCTAAATACTTGACGTGCGTCGAATAGCCAACAACTACCCTGAACCTGATGTTCAACATCAATACTGGAACAAAATAGATACTGGGTGTAGCATCTATTTTAATATGAAATGTAACTTCTATGAAAGTTGCAAACTCTGAACGTATATAGCTACAATATCACTATTAGCAGTGTAATTACATTACCAACTGAAATCACCTGCATATTTTGTTAACTCAACATGAAATACTTCTCTTGTCACATATCAAATACATACCACACAAAGTGAAAATTACACTCAAAACACAAATGTTCAATAAATACAAAAACCATACTTACGGCTCATAATAGCCCATGCATCCACTTCAAGCAAATATATCATCTGTTTACCACTCCTCTCCAATCACTCTCTTAAATACACAACAGCACATGTATTCCCCATGCAGCACATGCAGCATCCTATTATCAGATGGTGTGTTTGGGCGAACTACTCTTGGAGTGTGTTTGGGCGATTCGCTCTTGGTGATTGTGGCTAAAGAGCTATTTTTGTGACAATCATTTTTTCTTAAAGTACTATAGTCACTATAACACTATTCGCACGCCCAAATGACAGTGAGTAAGTATGGATTTAAGCTGCATTTATCAATATCCCAGGACACTATATATAGTGGCATCACCTTTGCTACCATGTGGAGAATCGAACCCGGGTCCTCCAAGTGACGATCCACCACTTTAACTACTCAGCTACCCGAGTGCCCTAAATGCCAGTGGGTGGTATCAACGTAAAGGGAAGAGAGGTTATATGGATCTCAGACATCTGACACCCCTATCTTACTTGGCCTGTTCTGATGTGTCACGTGTCATACTCACGGTATATTTTCACCCTGTGGATCTACTGTGCTAACGCTCTGACACTGATGGGATTTCTTCAGTGAGGACAGTTTGTTATGGAATGGACACATCATGCAGTATTGACAGAGACTATGTCGCAACTTTATTTCTTCACATTAACGTTTGTCGTATCACCACATTCAAATCAAAGAGAATAAGTTCAGTTATTGATAGTAAACACCCGTAACAGAATGACATCAGATACGAAAACTGTCACTAAGCTGAGCTAAATTTGCTGTGTTTGTCTCAACCACTCTCCGCATCATGCCCCAAATCCACCCACTACGGCGAGACCGACATATCTCCGTATGAACTGGCGATGTATAGTATCGGGCAGACTTCCTGAGCAGGTTAGGTTAGGTTAGGTCCTGTCTAGGTTTAGTACAGCAAATTCATTCTGTATTAGCGATCTTGAATCTACATCAACAAGATACCAACTCCTTTATTGTAAGGTAATCTCATTTTAATTCATTGCTTAGTTATTCTATTTAATTATATTAATGAAAGTTATAACAACATTTTCTGGTGATTTGGCTACTGAACTATTATGTTACAAATGTGGTGTAAGACACTGTCCTGACAGTCACAGAATTATTGTGACCCTGACCGCACTTTTATACAAACACAATGGTCGTTTCGCAGTATTTCCAGTCAAGGTTATAATCTCTCATAACTTGGTCCTGAATCTGATTTTGAATCTTACATAGGGTGTGTTTTGAAACAGACTGCCCATGCTTCAGTGGGTAGTGTTACTAACTCACTCAGTGGGGAATATTGAGATATAGTGTGATGTAAGATGTGCGAGTATAGTTGGAAGAGATGTGTGGCTGTGTGGTGTAGTGACCTATACATACTGGCCATAGTGGCAGAGTGGACAGTATTAAAACAGTAATGCTTTGTTCATATAATATTCATATTTGATCCAACGTCTTGGTGATATATATTAGTTAAATCCGTCAATCGTGCTGAAAAGTCAAAGGACTAATGAAACCGCCTGGCCTCTGATAAAGAACATCGTATCTTGTTCTAAATCTCGTTCTCTTTAGCACCTTCCTCCTATATTACATCATGTCTACACGTAAGTTCTGCATCTTTGTCTCTGGGAAGACATGTACACAAAACGAGATCAACTGTGTGTTGTAAACTGAGGTACACCAGACCTTGTTGTAATACCACAGATGTCAACACAAGCATTTCTATTGGTGCAATGATCAACCTTCATAGATATAACATGAAATAAACAGTAGTGAAGATCCGGGTTAGAACTGATCTTCAGTAACCCATGCTTGTCTTAAGAGACGACTAACGGATCGGGTGGTCAGGCTCACTGACTTGGTTGATACATGTTATCGTATCCCAAGTGTAGATCGATGCTCATGGTGTTGATCACTGGATTGTCTGGTCCAGACTTGACTGACTGACTGACACTGAGTTTAGTTTTACGCCGCTTTTAGCAATATTCCAGCAATATCACGGCGGGGGGCACCAGAAATGGGCATCACATATTGTGCCCATGTGGGGAATCGAACCCGGGTCTTCGGCGTGACGAGCCAACGCTTTAACCACTAGGCTACCCCACTGCCCCCGTCCAGACTTGAATATTTACAGAGCTCTGCCATGTAGCTGGAATATTGCTGAGTGCGGTGTAAAACTAAACTCACTCACTCAAACGTAGGGAACAAACTTAGTTGAAACCTCTGTGAAACATTGTTTCGATGACAGTTGCAGGGCAAATGTATGCACCTTCCCGTCTGTATACTGTGAACAATTAATATCCAAAAATATGAATATTATTTAACACATGTTATATTTCGGATTACACTTTCTCAGTAAAGTACAGATTCTTGTAATTTTGTTGGGTTAGTCCCATCCCGGATTCGAACCCACACGCCCAGTGTCAGGCACCTAATTGCCCGCACACAAAGTCAGCCATCTAACCCACTCAGCCATCGCAGGCTTCCACGTGTGTGTGCTCGGGATTAGAAGCCTGACTCTGAGAGTGTGGGTTCGAACCCCGGATGGGACTCAACCCAACGAAAGTACTAGAATCTGTACCTTACTGAGGAAGTGCAATCCCAAACATAACATGTGTTACATTTGACCACTTTTTAAAACGGTATTGTGTATTCAATGAATATAACTACCTACAAGTTGGTCTGTAAGTCAGTGACGCTTATGTCACTTTATGGTTTGTTCAATGATGTCTTGACATACCATGTAGCCTGTGGTAGAATCGCTTGCACCTTGTCATTCTTTTTACCAATGTAAAGTCAACATATTTGCCTCTTATGAAAATCAGTTGCCATCACTAAACTCTAGAAGTGACAAGTTCGTGGATCAGTGAAGTTGAAGGCTCATTTTCTGAATTACCTACAAATACCAACATCATACCTTGTATATCCTGTGATTAGATGGGTTTTATGCTGGTTAACATCCAAATTCACTGTTGTTCTGCATGCACAATATGTTAATGACTATAGAAACTCTGAAGCCATATCATGGTTTCTTTTATGTTTTATAACCTCAAGCTTTACGAAAATAGAACCATTTTGGTACCTTTGTTTGGTGTAAGTGATATAGCACCACTTTGTGTTCTTTTCACAAACAAACAAATCATTGTTACATATCTATCTCATTCATCTGGGAGACAACGGGTGGAACTTTCGCTAAGTACAAATATATTTGAAAATGCATCAAAAACTACATTTTGGGTGGAATTTAAAAAAAAAATGAAACAAATATCGCATAATTCTTTACATTTCATAAACGTTTATATATGTCACATGAAACATAGCTGGTATATTGAAACATCGAACAGTTTGGAAATTGTTTATCTAAATGCATAGGAAATGTGAATAAAGACTGATTACAACCAGCGTAATGCTTTCTCTTTGTTTGGTCTCTGTGTCTATCGAAAAGTAGCAATGTCATTTTCACTGATGGAAATAGCAATTGCACTAAAATCATTACACCTTAAATTTTATCTACCAAATGTTTCAACTGACATTTGTATTCAAAGAAAACACATCACAAATGTTCAAACCGCTCGAACTATTTTGGTATTTTTATGTATTCGTAGGTAACATAATACATTTGTTCTGAAAATCACCCCTTTAGGTCCTCGTCGCGGCTGATCACCTTATCAAGTTGAAGTGAGATTCTACCATGCCTTCAGTAAATACTGGATTGTGGTTAATCAAAGTCATTCAGAGGTATATAATCACGTTTCAGTGATTTTCCAATACAGTATGTATTATTTTTAATCTTAATAACACGGCTATGGTAGAATACAGATAAAATTATAATAGCTCTGATCTTAGTATTTAAAACCTCACACTATACGTAGGGTTTTAATTCAAATTTAGAGCTATTATAATTTCATTATAAACCTCTAATTTTCCAACATAGTATGTTTATCTCCTAAATGGACATGTGCACAAGTTAACTTCCTTAATACTAATGTGATATGATGTGAATTTGTGATATGATGGGAATATCATTGTGATCGGGAAATGACAAAAAACATAATAAATAAATAACTGACAAATAACAGAACTAAATTCTTTTAGTCCTTCAACAACTTTAACTAGAAGAGTCCACTATTAAATCATAGGGGTGACACTAGTTTACCACTGCGTAATCAACAGTCGACATACCATGAAATGTTGTTTTAAGACTGTAGGCGAATTGGGACGTTGGCGAAATGAGAACATGCCGGGTGAACAGAGGCAATGTGTCACGCATGCTTTGTTGCCGGCGGGACAGAAGTTCTAGAAACTCTCAAGAGTCAAGCTGCCGAAGACGGTCTCTAATCCAACTGCTTCATGCACCAGATCACACACCACCACAAATGCATTTTTCCTATTATCTCAAGTAGAGGATTTTCCACATAAAACAAACACAACTGTATACTAGCTGTTGCAAAGATCAAAAAGGATGTTTGATACTTCATCAACTTCATCTGGTAGGGGCGTTGGGGGTAGTCTAGTGGTTAAAGCGTTCACTCGCCAAGCCAAAGACGCGAATTCGATTCCCTACATGTGTGAACCCTATTTCTGGTGTCCCCCGCCGTGATATTGCTTGAATATTGCTGAAGCAATGTAAAACTAAACTCACTCACTCACTCATCTGGTCAAGTTGACGACGACATTCACTGCTGTCCTTGCCTCCGTGTGTAGACTCTATGCTGGACACTACGGAATGTTGGGCATGTGTTGCCCAGTCAAGTTTAAGTGAAAATCGGACCCCATTGTGAAGAATTCAGGTTTTGAAGGAACTGAAATCTCAGATTGGCTCCAGTTATGAAACTTGGCCTCCAGGTGTCATCCATGTGCTGATGAGTTTCCACACACTGATAAACCTCTAAAACTTGAATCCAGAGTTGTTCCTTCCATCAGAAACTGCCACACTAGAAGACTGTTGATAAGAAAATTGGTTGTTCATCCTCATGGGCTAATACCAAAAAGCTGTTTGATTTTTGTATAGTTTCTGAAGTTTTGAAAATTGTAAGCGCGTTGAAAGAACCTAAAGTATTCATTAAAAAGTTTTTATTTGAAAATGTTTAAAAGATCAGAATACATATTCAAATCACCTACCTAACTTGATTACAAATATGAAAAGAGGGTTGAACTGTAGAGCCTTGGTGGCCATGTTTGGTAGTGTTAATGTTGTTACAAGATTCAGGGCAACTTCACTTCAACTTTAAATAGAACTTCACTAATTCTGAAGTCTATTGATTTTGTCTTATTTCTCAGTAGAGAAGTGGGGCATATTGCATTGTTTCTATATTTATACTTTTGTTGTTATAAGGTTGTACTGTAGTACTGTTGTCTTATATTGTATGACTAACATTTCCTAACTGCTAGATCCGTGAAGATCCAGGTTAGAATTGATCTTCAGTAACCAATGCTTGTGGTAAGAGGCGACTTACGGGATTGGGTGGTCAGGCTTGCTGACTTGGTTGACATGTCATTGCATCCCATTTGCGTAGATCGATGCTCATGTTGTTGATCACTGGGTTTTCGCCGTCATATAGGTGGAATATATTTACAGTTCAGTTTTAATGTCACCCATATTCTCGAGAGTTTCAATGGTCATTTAAGAAACTTTCAGCTCGCGCGCGCGCACGCACACACACACACACACACACACATCTCTCTGGATCCACCTATGACCAAATGGGATTTACTTAGCGAATGTTTGCATTCATCTAATTCAGTTATGTCACCTCGTGGTTACAAAATACGTCTCTCATCCTAGCGGATCTAACCTCACGTGGAGTACGTTTTTCAAACATGACTGGGGCGGTGGGGTAGCCTAGTGGTTAAAGCGTTGGCTCGTCACGCCGAAGACCCGGGTTCGAATCCCCACATGGGTACAATGTGTGAAGCCCATTTCTGGTGTCCCCCGCCGTGATGTTGCTGGAATATTGCTAAAAGCGGCGTAAAACCAAACTCAGTCAGTCAGTCAAACATGACTGAACACATTCAAAGACAAAAGTAAGTGATTATATTGATTGTTGTTGACTCAAAGTCTCTGTTAGGCTGGTCTCTCTCTCACCAAACGATGGATCAATACATTAACAATTTTTAAAAGGCTCCTTTTATATAGTACTAGGGTAGGGTCTATATACCTATATGTCTTTCTAATGTTGTTTCTAAGCGTGACACGCCCCTGTGCTTGGAGGCTAAACAAATGATGATATTCTAAACCAATATTCACTACAAGCATGACAAAAGTATTCCCTTATAAACGACCTTTTCAATGAAGCTGCAACAGCGGTCGAGGCACATTGGGTCGGGAAGCTGAAAGCAATAAAGATGTCTGTCAGCTCACGCCTAGACTAACGTGCTAGAGTCTCAAATATATTTTTGATTGAAAGAAAGAAATGGATTCAATCTGAAAAGGAGTCCCCAATGAGGTAGGGGATGGAGACCTTGAGGACCTGCTTCTTCTTCAGCTGGGACGGTGGGGTAGCCTAGTTGTCAAAGTTCGTCTCGCCGAAGCCCAATGTGAAGCCCAGATTTGGTGTCCCCGCCGTGATATTGCTGGCATGTTGCTTAAAACGGCGTAAAAATAAACTCACTCACTCTTCTTCAGCTTCTGCATGAGACGAGAGAGGTACGCTTGTGGACGTGACTGCCCGTCCATGCACAACGGATTTTTGAATGCAACACAAACAGTGTTTTTACAAGTCACTGTGTTATTTACTGATAACAAATTGAAGTCCAGTTATTGATAGTAAACACCAGTAACAGACTGACATCGAAGGACATCTGAGAAGAAAACTGTCAGTAAGCTGAGCTAAATGAGCCGGGTTTGTCTCAACCACAATCCCCAAATCAAACCATCAGGTGCATTCGCATTTGTGACCAACTCGTGTTATTCTGGGACAAGCCGAATAGCGACTCGTGCCCCTCTGGAAGGATTTCATATTGGCGCATGAACATCAGAACTACTTTAAAAAAGAACGATAACTCAATCCCTGATTGATTCCAAAGTTTCTTAATATCACCGAAGTACATGTACATTGTATTGCTAGGTTGTTGTTTTTGGGTTTTTTTTACTTATTTATTTTAAATAATTAAACCTCTTTGATACAACTAAAAGAAGGAGAAAAACATATTTGTTAGACATATTCTAATGTAATTATTACCAGCTGTTCACCTTATATTTCCAATTATGTTAATTTTCTTAATAGGGTTTAATTATCACAAATGGGAATTGTTTTATTGAATATACAAAACTCAGCTCCATTAAATCCCAAAAGCAGATACTCAAAAATGACTTTAAAAATATTTCTCAAACTGAACATTCGTGTTACCTTGCTGTCACACCCTGGTGGAATTTCAAATGAATTCGCTGAAAAATATGAAGGACCAAAAACACTCAGACTAAAATATCCCCAGAGCTATGAAATAAAAAGCCCAGTGTTAAAAAGATTAAAGGTTGATTAGTTACATACAAATACGATATTATTGTTTTGAAACTCGTAGCGATTATAATTCTTTGTACTTTCAATATGACGATATATATTTTTCATTACTTTTAATAAATGACATAATGCCATAAACGATTTAAGTACTCGGGATTATATTTATTAAAGCACCGCGCTCATTTACGCGCGTTCTGATTGGTTTGTCGTATTTTCGCACATAACAAGTATCGAGTGGCGAACGAGTCTTCTTGGAGGTTACGGAAATGGGCGAGTGGTGACGAATGGTGCATTCGTGGCCAGCTCGTGTTATTCCGGGACAAGCCGAACAGCGACGCTAGATTGTCTATCAAGGGAGAAGTACCGACCAGTTGTATGATTACGAATACTAACTTATCATGTACAACGAAGTTCACATACACAAATTGATAAACTTGCGACCGAAAGGCGAGCAAAAGTGCAGAGTCCGACGGCGATCTTGAATTTACATCAACAAGATACCAATTTCTTTATTGTAAGGTAATCTCATTTTAATTCATTCCTTATTTATTCTGTTTTATTACATTAATGAAAGTTATAACAACATTTTCTGGTGATTTGGCTACTGAACTATTATGTTACAAATGTGGTGACACTTTCCTGATCCTGATGATACCTTTACACACACAATGGTCGTTTTGCAGTATTTCCAGGCAAAAGATATTTAGAAATATCCCAACGGGCTATAAACGTTGCGGTCTCTTATAACTTGGACCTGAATCTGACTTTTAATCTTACATAGGGTGTGTTTTGAAACAGACTACGCGTGCTTCAGGGGGTACGGTTACTAACTCACTCAGTGGAGTATATTGAGAGTGTGATGTTATTGTGGGGAGTATAGTTGGAAGAGATGTGTGACGGTGTGGTGTAGTGACCTGTAGATACTGGCCACAGTGGCAGAGTCAACAGTATTAAAACAGTAATGCTTTGTTCATATAATACTCATATTTGATCCAACGTCTTGGTGATATATATTAATACAATCGTGCTGAAGTTCAAACATGAGTTCAAAGGACTAATGAAACCGCCTGGCCTCTGTTAAAGAACATCGTTTCTTTTTCTAAATCTCGTTCTCTTCAGCACCTTCCTCCTATATTACATCATGTCTGCACGTATGTAACTACTGCATCTTTATCTCTGGGAAGACATGTACACACAACGAGATCAACTGTGTGTTGTAAAGTGAGGTACACCAGACCTTGTTGTAATACCACAGATGTCAACACAAGCTTCTCTGTTTGAGCAATGATCAACCTTCATAGATATAACATAGAATACAGTCCTTGTTTAAGACAATGTGAGGTATCCATTTTAACACTTATCCTTATTCCTCTGTGTGGTCTGTGATCAGGTACGGTGCCTTTGTGGGGTAATGGTGATGTGTCTACAATCAACGCAGTTCATCACAGAGCTGTTAGGGTTTTCCTCGGTTTGGGTAAATATGCACCGAATATTGCTATTAATTGGGACACAGGGTGTATCTCTCTAATGTCTCACAACAGTTATGTATAGTTAGACGGATGTGTCGTTTTAGAAATATGTCTGATCGTTTATATGAGCATGTTTTATTATGCTCGGAAATACCTGCTGCTGATCATAAAAAATGGAATCAATGGGGGGGGAAAGAAAAAAATAGCTCTCCTACATATGCAGCGTATTTCAAATATCACCAGTTGTTTAAATACTAATTATATATATACACATATGATATGCAAGATTCCATAATAAACCAGTATGCTAAAATATGGCAAGAACGTTTATGGAATGATAATGACGTGTATAGTAGAAGTAAGCTCCGTACCTACAGATCTTGTTCAGAGTTTTGTACTGCCACTGTGACTATAAACTTTAACTCACTCACTGTAAAGAGTTTTAATTCTGTGAAAGTTGTCAGGACTTTTATGACCCATAGTTCAGGATATAGTTTGTTTTAACTAATAAATTCATTGAAGACGAAGAGCATGTTTTGTTACAATGTCCCTTATGTGATGATTTTAGAATCACTCTTTTCACAAATGTTAAGCCACTGTCATTGACCATAAAACATTAAGTGCTATCTTACTGTCAAAGCTTGCTTTTTAATACTACAACGTAGAAAACATGTCTTATATGGATAAACCATCGCCTTTATATATGTATAAATGCCTGCTTGTATGATTTCATCGTCTATCATAACTTATTACGAGTGGCGCTGTATCATATTCTTACTGTGCCAAGTCGTATGTCTGTATATATATATTCTTTTAAACATGTGCATCAGTTAAACGTAAATAAAATATCTGTTTGCCAATTACAGATGACGTCCCAGGGTCTGCCGATACAATGCCCAGAAAGGAGTGAGGGGAATGGCCAATATGACTCTGCCTCTGCCTGCTGTGCAGGATGACCTCAAACAACGTGGCCAGCCTGCGGGAGGCAACCGCAGTCGCCCACGACGTTACCAGACGCAGCGTCCAGGCGGTAGATAGTTGTGAAGCGTCACAGCTGGTTGTGTCATGAACTGAGACTCATCGAACTCATAATCTGTGGTGTATGAAAAATGTAATTTGCAATGTATTGTAGATATGAATGTACTTGTTGAAGAATGAAGATCTGTCTACACTACACTGATGTCTATCAAATGTTGCATATCTGTACTTAAATGAACAATACATAATTCCCTGTCACCTGGCGCAAGAGTGGACCGAGCGTTGTAATCTGGTATAATGTTTTCTATGTCCTAACGTGTTTGTTTTACACATATTTTATTCATAAAAGATCAATGGGATCCTGTACAAGTTCACCAACTTAGGACACTTTCTCCCAGATATGTACAACTGAACTACAACGTGTACTACACATGAACAGAACAACAGGAAGGAAATGAATAGGAATGTCAAGACTTTGTACGTAATGGCTATAACATGGTTATAGCTGCATGTGTTGGGCACCTGAACACCTTACAGTCTATACATCTTATACATCTGGTGCTGTCTATCGGTGGGGTAGCCTAGCGGTCAAAGAGTTCGCACGTCACGCCGAAGACCCGGGTTCGATTCTCCATATGGGTACAATGTGTGTACGTCATTCCTGGTGTACCCCGACAGACCAACGCCACCCGGAAGTCTACCCACTCCAATCCTGTATGTGAAGGACAATTCATAACCACTGATTTCAAACTTTATCCCTTTTCCTATTTTTTTCCCTTGTAATCCAATAATGTCATGAGTAAGTAGTCCAGACGCAGTCTGAGAGAAAATAAAGATATTTATAATTAATATAATACGCCTTTTATTTCGATATGGAACTCGGGATGACAAACACGTTACTCGCCCATTGTACAGTGTCACAGTTATATTTCATAAGATCTATCCGTGTGGAGTAGCGTTATTACAAGCTAGTTCTATGATACCGGCAATCATAGGTTTTCAGCTTTTGGCAATATAGGAGTTCTCACAGGTATATTTTCTGAGAATGTCATAGTCCAGATATTGTTCACAGTGATGAAATTCATTCACAGTTCTTGTTGTAATATCTTTACAAAAACTCACATGTTTAGCCTGCTGAAAGGCCGATTGTTCTCAGTATAACCATTGCCAGAAACTGTCTCAGTATGTTCTTCCTTCGAGTCTTTCAGATGAATAATCAAGCTTACATCCGTACACGGGTTTCATATGGCGTCGTATTTGATACATGTTCAATTATGATTTCCTGCTTGAGCCTCGCTCCTGCTGTGGTTATCGGAGCTCTGTTGTGAGGTGTTGTAAGGGGGTGGTCCAGCCAACATTTGGAGGACGTTTCCTACGCATAGTTTATCAACCGATATAAACACTCAGAGGTTCTAACAACTTGTTTCCCTTAACAGGGGCATTTAGACCAAGTTCTGGCAGCTGCTCTGCACATGAAAATGGCCTGCCTTTAAGTTTTCGTCGAGAGCTTTTGACAGCGTCCGCTTTATGTGTGAAGATAAATTTCGACCTCTTCGTGGCACCAGACAGTCTTAGGCGTCATATACAAGGTCCACCTCAAACTCATAAGTAGTTAACAAACGAGTGTTTAATAATAATATGGGGAGGAAAACAAAAAACATCTGACAACTTTCTCAGTAAGCCACTAAAGAAACTATACAATCGTTTAGACTGCTACTCTTCTATAAACTTTGGAACAGGAAATATTTCAAACATGATTGTACTTACAGTCACTGTGACCATACCAGGTGTTGTGTGAAATCCATGACTCTGTCCCACCACTTACATCTTCAGTCATTGAAATGTAATAATCCCACATCAAATCAAACTTGTTCTCCCCTAAAGCATTGATACCAGCAAAATAAAACTCCCACATGCTGCAGTATGGTGACTGATTAGGGTCATCGCTATATCGCCCTGAAAATATAAGGCGACAGAGCGAGACGCACATCGTACTCCTTTATCCAATCAAATCTTTTGCTCTGACCGCATGGGTTTAGTTAAAGGCACACATCAAATCCTTGCAATAGGTGAAATATCGCCAGTGAGAATGGCATAACTCGAAGGCATCTACCGGTCCCGGAAGTAAGTCTGACAAATTACTAGAGCGCTCATCTTTCTGATTGGCTTAAGTTGGCGCATGCGCCAGGTTTGATTGACAGTCTTGATTGGTCTATTAGATTTGCGCATTCAGACGCAGTGATGACACAGCATTACTGAATCAAGATAATTTTAGCATATCACGTGACCGGACGTTTCTCTTGTTTGTAAACAAACACGCATAATCGTAAATAAAAGTCTCTTGGAAGCTATTCGGTGAGCTCTGCATAATGTGTTACATGGTTACATCGATATTCTTCTACAACTGTAAGGTTTATGACAATACATCTTTATACATCAAAGTGGCTGCATCGTTTGTTCTCCGAAGCGCTTCGATGACAGCACGCGGAGTCGTACAACGTATGTGAAGGATCGGTACGCAAATCGAAATACACGTTTTAGGATATTTTCTCAGGGAAACTAAGGGGCGGTGGGGTAGCCTAGTAGTTGAAGCGGTGGGTTGTCACGCCGAAGACGCGGGTTCGAATCCCCACATGGGTACAATGTGTGAAGCCCATTTCTGGAGTTTCCCGCCGTGATATTGCTGGAATGTTGCTAAAAACATACTCATTCGCTCAGTGGAACTAAACCACTATTTATGGTGAGTATATCTATTTTTCGACGGAGTGGGTGAATTAGTTCAATTTTACTCCGCACTCAGCAATATTCCAGCTATATGGCGGCGGTCTGTAATTGATCAAGTCTGAACTAAACAATCCAGTGATCAACAGCATGAACATCGACCTAGGTAATTGGGATACGATGACTTGTACCCTGTCAGCGAGACTGACTACCCGATCCCGTTAGTCGCCTCTTTAAGACAAGCATGGGCTACTGAAGATCAATTCTAACCCGGATCTTCACAGGTCTTTTCTCCAGAAGAGCGGGACCTGTCCACGACCTCTTACAAAAGCTTCATAAAATCCGTACGACACAAATGCGGGTCAGACTCTGGCGCAGTTATGACTTAGCTGTTACCGCTGCCGTAGATCAATGGATTGTCTGGTCGAGGCTCGATTAGGTACAGACCACCGCCATATAGCTGGGATATTGATGAGTGCGGCGTTAAATAAAAATCAAACAATACCGCTGTCGTAGGAGAATGATATACGTTGTTTCTCAGGTGTGACGTCATTCCCACTTGACGTCACAAGACATTTCCAACAACGCCAACAACGTCAACAATCAAGTCCGGAAGTCTAAATCGCGTCGTCCAATACTTTTCTGCTAATACAGCTGCTTGTATGTTGACATTAATGGTGCAAGGGAGACTACTCTTCAGACGTGAGATGGGAGTAAGAAATCGACGCTGAGTAATAAGAAAGGTAGAATACTTCATGGATAGCAACTTCTGCATTATATTATCATCATTATTATGCCGTTTCGGTATTGATTCTTATACCGTTGTCAAGCAAGAGTGGTACACAATGTAATAAAGAAGTTGTCCATGAAGTATGAATGCATATTTTACCTATCTAATTTTCGTTCATAGTATTTAAAAACATCTCGATTTGTTACACAGAATTTGATGCTATTTTCAAAGATAAATAATATTATACCTAAAGAAACGACAACATTTTAATATTGGATTTGACATTGCTCAGTATTATGTCGCTATTTCTGCTAAACATCATACAAGATAAGATGCAAAGAAGTTCCTTTCCTTTTGGCGGGTTCACGGGTCGGTTGGTTGGTCGGATGGTCGGTTGGTTGGTCGGTTGGTCGGTTTGTCTTTTTATGTCGTTTTTTGCATGCAACTTTCACGATAGTGGTAAGAAGTATCATAGGTGTACATAGGATGGGTAATACATGTATCTATTTTTTAAATTTTTGCAGAAATATAAGCAACCGTTTAACATTCTCCATTACACTATTGTCATAAGTTTGAATAAATTGTTTCAATGATACAAATGGAAACGAGTAAATCGTCAAACGTTTGAGACAAAAGCGCACGTGGCGATAAAACAACATATAACACAATTGTATACCAGAGACAATACCTTAACATCTATGTGCATAATTATACATATAAAAAAAATTGAACTATTTTATAAAAGGACTATAGTCACTATCACACTATTCGCAAATAACAGTGAGTAAGTATGACTTTTAGCAATATTCCAGGACACCAGAAATAGGCGTCACACATTGCAACCAGGTGGAGAATCGAACCCAGGTCCTCTAAGTGACGATCGAACGCTTTAACTTTAGAGTGCCCCTAAATGACAGTGGGTGATATCAAGGTAAAGGATAGAGAAGAAAAGGGACATATGTGTCCTTCTGTCATTCAGGGTGTCAAACAGTGATTTTTGCACCAGTGCTCATACACGTTTTACAGAGCAGACCTGAGTTAGAATTGATCTTCAGCAGCCAGTTATTGTCATAAGAGGCAAGTAACGGGATCGGGTGGTCAGGCTCGCTGATTTGGTTGACACACGTCATCGTATCCCGAATGCATAGAACGATGCTCATGCTGTCGATCACCTGATTGTCTGGTCCAGACTCGATTATTAACGGACCGTCGTCATCTAGCTGGAGTACGGCGTTAAACAACAACCAAACCAAACCAAGTCTAACCCTACTGGTAATACACTGACATCCATGCCAAGAAACTGGTAACTTGCAAACATTGCACAAATCTGTAGTAGATGAACAGACATCACATTTTGATGCATATTGCATACAAATTACATCTTTGAGAGATTGAATGTAGTAGTTCCTATGTAAGAACACCTGCTAAATATCACTACGATGTACAAGTAATATAATGCTTGTTTCGTTTTTGTTGAGGCCAGTCAATTTAATGAGCATATGAGACGGTACGTCTGTCAGCTCAAACCTATATTAATGATAAGCCTCTTACAATATTTTTTTATCGAAAGAAAGAACTGAACTTCATCTGAAAAGAAGCCCCCAATGAGGTCGGGAATTCAGACCTTGAAGTCGCTTCTGGTGTGTACGCGAGATGTGAGAGGCCTGTCCATTCAAACAGTCTGACGTAGTGTCCATTCAAGCGTACTCCCCAACTGTGCACCAACCTGTCGCATCGACTGAATGAATACGCTAGAGCGTGAATGAGAAACCAACATCCATGAGCAGATTCGTAAACATTTCTCACCGTGTTTTTCTTTCGGAAAAAATATTCTCTTGTCACTAATGCCTCCCCAGCTCTAACGGCCTTGGTCAGGTCACAGCTGAATAACAGAAGATGTGGTTTGACTTTACAATATAATCACACTTTATTCAAGATAATAGGCTACACTATTCTTTTTCTACAATATAAGACAATTGTATTTGTGACACTGTAACTGTGACTTGAATATTAATTAGAAAACATCCTTCTCCCCATTGGAAACTGCTCCCAAATTTATATGAAGGGAGATAACTCGTAGTGCCTTGAAAGCATACCTCTTTTGAGAATTTTTGTTGGGTAACCCGATAATACCTAGGATTGTGCTGAGTTTACACGCAGACCCAAAAGCAGATGCAGCCACCCTGTTACAATTTAACAATTAAAGATGCTGAATGTTTTATGTATTCTGTGTTGTATCATTTATGCAAACGTGAAGGGTATTACAACACTGTGACTATCTCATTACATTATGTATTTCCGAAAATACATTATGACTCCCAAATATGAATTACCTAGCAGAATATTTGCATTCATGTAATTAAGGTATGTCACCTCATGGTTGTAAAATGTGTCTCTCATCCAGGGGGATCTACCTACACCTGGAGTACGTTTTTGATTGAAAGAAAGAACCAGATGTAATCTAAAAAGGAGTCCCCAATGAGGTAGGGGATTCAGGCGCTGAGGTAAATCTAGACCTGCTTCTTCTTCTGCATGAGGCCAGAGACGTTCGCATGTTAGCGTGACTGCCTGTCCAAGCACCACGGATTTCTGGATGGAACACAAACACGTGTTTACAAGTGTTATTTATTGATAAAAAACTGAAGTTCAGTTATTGATAGTAATACAAGTAACAGAAAGACATCGGAAGACTACTGAAAAGAAAACCGAGCAAAATTTGCCGGCTTTTTTCCAGCTATTTTCTCTAGAAGGCGGCAGACAATACCCCCTACCCTATAAACGACACCGCATTATGTGAGAAACTTTCTTGTTACACACAAAAATAATGTGATCCTGATGACACGTTTACACAAACCCAATGATCGTTTTGCAGCATTTCCAGGCAAAGATATTTAGAAATATCCCAACGGGTTATAAACGTTGCAGTCTTGCATAACTTGGTCCGGTAATGAATCTTAATTCCATTTCCCTATTCCGTATTTTCGGAATTCCTTGAGATGTGCGCATGCGCTGTGTCAACAGTATGCTTGAGTTGTTAAAGGAGAACACTAACGAAAACAAAACTTTTCATATGGGTAAAGGCATTCTAAAAGTCACCCTCCGGGCTTAAAATTGGACAAACAGTTTGTAAAATCGCAATAAAAACACAAAAAACGTACACGTCTTGCCGCCTATTACGGAAACACGCGACACTTAATGAGCAGTGGGGGTATCACGTGACATGACGTCATATGTGCCTGTTGCTGATGGCGTCCTCTTTGATTTTACCTCACAACTTAACAGAGTCCATGGGTTCTGAAGCAATAAAAGATGTTCCTGATGTCTTTTCAGAAATGCATGTTATTTAAATGGGATGCGTGGGGACATATCTACGTTTCTATTGAAATGGTGCGTTATACCAATTCACTTGTCTCTCCAATGGACTCTCATCAGCCCCTCGAATTTTCACAAAAGTGTTTAAACCAGTGTTCTCAGCTCTAAGAAAGGGAGGTTTTTCAAACACCGCCTATATCAACGATTCTTTACTGTTAGGGTACACAATGGAACACTGCAGTGAAAATGTGCATAAAACAGTAAATATTCTTGACAGTTTAGGTTTTACCGTTAATCCTGGGAAGTCAGTATTCCAAGCAGTGACGTGTAGCACGCATTTGGGGTTCGATATTGATAGTTGAAAAGTGACTGTGAACCTTACAGGTGAGAAAGTAGAGAAAATTAGGAATCTGTGTTTGAACTTCCTGAGAATAAACAATTTGTCTATTAGAAATATGGCTGCTCTGATAGCACAATTAAATGCGAGTGGACATGGTGTAAGGTAAGCACATTTATATTATACGCATTTGGAGATTGCCAAACATAGAGTGTTAAGATTCTCAAGAGGGGATTATGATAGGCCAGTGACATTGGATGACGTTTGTGTTATGACTTACAATGGCGGATAGACAATGTAGGAAAATTTCCCCAACCATTAGAAGAGAATCAACCAACTTTGGCGATAAAATCAGATGCTTCCCAGTCTGGTTGTGGAGGAGTGATAGGAAAACTAGGGGACTGTGGTCAAGTGAAGAACAGGAGAACCATAATGTTCTTAAATTTCACGCAGGTTGCAGTCCTACAGGCCCTCTGTTCTGATCATGTTCGCACGCACGCACGCACGCACGGACACACACCTCTAAGGCGTGATGCTAGTGATCTAGCGAAGTTGAGGTGCCGGGATCGAGCCCACCTGTGACCGGGTGTAAAAACCTTGGAGTCAACTTTGTGCGCAGACTCTTTCCGTGTTGTCATAACCCCTAGTGTACAGTACACAACCCTGTGCACTCAAAAGGACCCACGAATCCGTTGGTATATGACCAGATGGTGGCCACATGAATACGTGCAAACACCTAGTTGCGGGTACAGCAACGTGCAGTGACCTTGGACAAAGTACGTTGACTATATGTCCCAGTCCACCCAGCTGTGAATGGGTACCTCGTTAGGATGAGAAAGCCACAATAGCTCGGTGCGCCTAGTGGCAGCAAGAGTTGTATACTCCCTATGGAGTTGATATTGATAGTACGATATGCCGTTTAGATTGACATCCAATGATCGAGGAGAAAAATACCAGCGTCTTGAGCATACACTAGTTGCGTGGACATGTGCGCTATATAAATAACCTATAATAAAAAATACTAACATTGTGGAAATGGTGTATAGCACGAGACGTGTGGGTCTCAGCAGCCCGTCTCCCTGTGATGAGGAATATTGAAGCTGACTGGCAGTCAAGAAATGCCACAGATGATAAGGAATGGAAACTAGACTCTTCAGTGTTTGGAAGACTAACATGCCATTGCCATTCCATCTCGTCATATATTTGCTACTAGACAGACAACTTAGTCGTTATGTGTCATGGTACCCTGACCAAGAGGCTGAAGCAGAAGATGCTTTTTCATTGTTTTGGGACTTAGTGTTATCGGACGAGTCCTATGGAAGATTCAGGGAGAAGGAGCCGATGTACTGATGGTGATTCCAAACTGGCCAACACAACCCCGGCTCAGCAAAATATTGCAATTACTGACGGACTGCCCAAGGATACTACCAAGATCAACATACCTCCTTCCCTTGAGCAACCGTCCAACAGCCAGAAATGTCCTGTACAAAATGCTATGACTAGCAGCCGTCATATTATCAGGGAAGCAGTACAAACTGATGGAATTTCAGAACCTGCTGCAGACCTCATTCTGCAGTCATGGAGAGATTCCACACACAAACAGTATGGGGGTTACCTCCAAAGATGGATGCTGTTTTGCACTAAAACGATGCTGATGACCCTTTTCTCCTCCTTTAGGATATTGTTAGACTTTTTGGCTGAACTGTATAAGAATGGCTTGAGGTATTCAACTGTAAGTACTGCAAGGACAGCTCTGTCTCGTGTGATAGTGTTACAGAATAGTGTAGTGTTTTGACAACATCCAAAATTGTCAGGTTAGTGAAAGATACTTTAAGTCTCTGTCCAGCTTTGCTACATTAAAACCTTACATGGGATATAAGGATAGTTCTGAATTGCATAAAGAGTTTGGATGTCAGTTAATCCTTGAAATTGCTGACATTGAAGTTAGTAACAACACTGTTGCTTCTTTCAGGACAGAGAATACAATCCCTTCATCTTATTGATTGTAGGGATGTGCATGTGTCAGACATTGATGTGAACATTAGAATTGGTGACTTGTTAAAACAAAGAAGACATGGGCATCATCAAGCTGAGCTCACCCTTAATAGCTACCCAGACCAAGAACTGTGTATTGCAAATATTATGAATCAGTATTTGAGAAGGACAAAGGAACTTTCGTGGAGCACAGACAGCTTTGTTCACTACCCCAACTAAACCACACAGAAGAGCGTCAAAAGACACTATATCCTGATGGGTGAAGACTTTCATGATTACTGTTGGTATTGATATAACTGTGTGTGCACCACACAGCATAAGATCAACTTCTACAAGCAGTGCGAGGCAAACAAGGATAAGTTGGTCCGGCGCAGAGAACGCATTTACGAGAAGTAGGTAGTGAGCAAGCCCATTTGGTTTGTGGAAGGTAGAGCGGATGTAGGCCAGTACATGTGCATTACATGACGATGAAATTGATTTTGCGCGTAGCTGCACACGCCTTGCTCATGAGACTCTCACGTGGTCGGTGTAGTACTACACTTGATCGCGGACAACCTTGGGCCCCTTCGCTAACAATGGCAAGGGCCAGTGGGTGGCTTTCATACATGTTAATATGGGCCAATTGTCAGGTCGGTGCTCAACATATACTTGTTTGCCCGTAAGTCTATTCTGCAGACTGCAGGCTGGAAAAGTAATTGTGTGTTTGCTAGGT